TACAATTTGAAAAAACCTAAAACCAAATAAATACTGTTACAGTTGCCCCGCGGTCTCAACAAGTAGTAAAAATTAGAACAAACATTAAAAACGGTGAAATAATAAAACCACATCAGAAACTGCATAATTGCGAAACCTCCAATTGGTTCACAAATGCAAAGGTGCCCTAAGCACTATTTTAAATAAAACCCAAGGAATAAGTCGAATTTGAATCTCTGAAAAAGCACATGGAAGATTTCAGCAGCTCCTTGGAAATTAACTCAAAAACCAAAGCCATCTAGTGAGACAAACCATTATAATCAAAATTTCAACCAAATACCCATTATAGTATACCAGATCTTGAAAGGCAAAATATAGCATTTCACTCACACAAAGTTGTAGAAGAAATAGATAAAGAGTGTAATCCTGATCAAAAAGTCCATAAGAGTCAAGAAAAAGATCCAATAGTCGATTGATTTCTACAATCGAATCAGCAGTAAATCACGGTGCCAACCATATAAATTGTTTTTCACAAGTTTTACATTCACCAGCAAAAAGGTATTATTTTATTAGAAAAGAAAAGAGGACATCTAGAACAAAATTCGGAAGACAACCTCGAGGCTGACGTAATTATTAAAGTAAATACAGGGTGTCCCACACGGAACTGCAGCGATCGATATCTGGCAAACTAAAATTAGGAGATATTTGAAAACTTAACAGTTTTCGAAAGTCATTGGGGGGCAAGTGATTTAAAATATTTTCAAGATGGCCACACTTCCGGTTGTACCGGAAGTAGTAATAACTTGCTTATTTTAAATGGATCTCCCTACATATTATTACATTTTTTAATTCTACTGCAAATTAGGAATATATTTCATGTACAATATCCTTTATTTTTCATTTTTCCTATAAGCGAATATGGTCTACTTAATTTGAGTCGCATTTCTTGTAGAAAATGACGAAATTTTGATAATGTTTAATTCAAAGTGCTAAAAAAATAGGTTTGAAAATGTCGTTGAGAAAATCGCCCTAAATCAATTTTTTTCTGATGGAAACCCCCATTTTTGATAATTTTATCTGATTTAGTATTTAAAATAAGGCTCAGTTTGTGTAAAGTTGTCTAATTCAAAATTGTTTAGTTTGCGAAATATTGTCAATTTAGTGTTTTAATTTGGATATTTTGCCCTAATCTCATTTTAAATCGTGCCACTCTTTTTTTAGTTGCCATCACGAAAGTCACAATTTTAAATATAATTAAATGCCAAACGAATGCTGACAGCCGTCACTTACGTTTTGAAAATAATTAATAATCATGCCCGGGCACGTAAAAGATACAAGCGAAGATTACTAAAACTTATTTATGGAGAATATGATAAAGACATATCAACCACCGGTTATGTATTATTAATTATTATTATATCAATTATCAATCACATTAAACAAAACTTTTGAAGTTTTTTAATTTTTTAATTAAAGTTTCTTAAAGAACTAAAAGTTAGAAAACTTCTAATGCAGGATCTACGTAAATCATCCTACGCAAGGTATCGCACCGGGAATCGGCCCTATTGATATCTGGCAAACTGTAATTAGGAGAAATTTTGAATTTTGACAGTGTGTCCAGGTCATTGGGGCAAGCTACCTAAAATATTTTCAAGATGGCCACACTTCCGTCTATACCGGAAGTAGGTATCAACTTGCTTTAAGTGTCAACTATCACACTTTGCCCACATAGCAAAATGATGTTCCCAGAATATACCTGGAACATTCATGTGATGTACATGCATATTCCTGGGACACACATGAGTTCCATTATGAACATTCCATGTATGTCCCAGGAATTTGTCAGAGTTAATACACTGAATGTTCATGGTATGTTCTGGGAATCTACATGGCATGTTCAGTGAATGTACATGTGTATGTTCAGACAATGTACCTGGTATGTTCAGTGAATATACATGTGTATTTTCTGGGAACGTACATGCTATGTTCAGTGAATGTACATGTGTATGTTCAGTGAATGTATATGGTATGTTTAGGGAATATACATACATATATGTAACGAAAGAAAAACGATACT